TTAAAATTTAAATGAAAAATCTCAGGATTGATTGCAAAAATTGAATCAAAAAATTAAAACAAACCACTGATTTGATTTATTTTTACAAATTGGACCAAGAAATTAATGGCTAAATGTGTGTAAGTAATTATAAAATCGGTTATTACTGAGATGACGTAATTCCATTTTTTTGATTTCATCACATTGTTGTGAAGGTTCCACGATTCCAACAAAAAATAATAATTAATAAATCTAAACACAGATTTTCAACGTAGACAGTTAATTAAATTAAATATGTTAAATGTTTTCTTTATTTGTAAAAAATGAGTTAATTTTAAAATAAAATTAAATATTTAGGAACTACAAAATTTAATTGTAGAAGATTTTATTTAAAAGAAAGAGAATTAATAGAAGAATACGACAAAAAAAATTAAAAATAAAAATTTTGAAACTGGTCTTTTTGTCAAGATTTTTTTAAATACCAACCATTTAAGAAATTATTTAAAACTATATAAAAATGTTTAGAAGATAAAACGTTTTAATAAGTGTTTTCAAAATTTGAAAGGAAAATCTCAAGAATGACTCCAAAAATTTCTTCTGAATAGCAAACTTTTTTCCCACTCATAACTACATATTTCTGCAAGCTTATTTTGACTTCTTGATATAAAATTAAAAATGTGTACACATGTCCGAGGTTATTATAAAATGGTATTGTATGTAAGTCCAACAATGCAACGTAACTGACTTAACCACCTGTCAATATCTTAACATTCTAAAGACTTTATGAATTTTTATTACCCAGTGGGCGGTTTTGCTTTAACCTCGGCTTAACATAATAATGCCTATAATTACATATAATACGCAACACTCAACAAAATATAACAAATTTTCTGTCACTGGTGGTAATTTTTTTGAAGAAAGTAAAGAAGGAAGAAAATGCCCTAACAACTTCATCAATTCATTAATTCGGCGAAAGTATTTTCGCCGCACCCCCAGCGGAGCCATATTTAAAAATGTTTAAAAAACCTGAAACGGTTAAGCAGCAATTAGCAATAAAATAAAAAATAATATCCCTGTAGACAGTAAAAATCCGCACGGAACAAGTTGGCTTGCAATTTACTATAATTGCGGGCGCTGATATTAGCAATAAGCTGATTTTTTATTCACCCTGTCTCTTATCACCCCCCAACCTGAGAACAATAGCTAATCTGGGACTGAGTTTTTTCTAGAGGCTCGTTTTTCTTAACAACTGCCGTCTTAAGGATCACTATTGGTTAACAAAGAGAAGATACAATATGCTCCGCTATAACACTAAAAAGAAATGAGAAGCTTCGCCGCAAGAAATTCTTGAATATTTTATAATTTGTAACAGAAGTCGCCAACTTTTTGATGAGTGGATCCAATTAAATATGAATAATTTAGTTAATGGTGACATTAGATGTAATTGATATCCCCTACTTGAATTATAATTAAATTTCTAAAGCTCCCGCGAAATTAATTCCGGATATCGCATTGAAAACTGCTAATTGTGAACCAATTTAATTTTTATATTGATTTGGCTCATCAAAGAAATAAACTATGGTATTATATCAAAAAGCTGTAATTGCGACAGCAAACGTTTTCGTGGTCAATTTAATAAATCGAGCATCTGCTTCGGTACAATTATCACAATTATTGCCATCTGCGTAATGAGAGCGCTCGATACAATTAATTCTTGTGGATAATTGATAGCAGCCGATATAGTTGGTTATTTTTCGTTTGGGGTAGCGTTGGAAAGAAAATAAATAATGAAAAAATGATAATGTAAAATTTCCCTGCGTTCGAATTAACAAGCTGAATGGAAGAAAATGTAACTAAATCTTTATCAACCGCAAAATAGCGATGATAAATGGATTGCATTCATCTGTGTATAGCGGAAGAAAGCAAGCAGTCAGTGAATTTGTAGCCGGAACGGTGGGTGCAATGAATCAATTTCTTTCTATTAGACACCGTCTTCTTGGGGATCTTTAAAGTTCTAATTAGACGAAATAAATCATTCAGCACCTGACACTTCTTGCACACAATTATCCGCGAAACATAAAAATAAAGGCGCCCGAGCGAGAGAGCACAAAAATGTTTTTGTTCAATCGAGCAGAAACGGAGGGAGCATTTGAATAAAACACAGAGCTATTGTATACCTGAGTAAATTTCATTTTAATGGAATAATCATTTGTGCAAATATTTGAATATTTTTTGATATTGAAATGCAAAAGCTCACTTCTTATTTCCGACTTTGTGTGCACAGCATTCGCTGAAATTTAATCAAAAAATTATGAAACACCGCTGGCGAAATGCGTTCTTATGATCGATGAGGCAAGTTCTTTAAAAATAACAACCCTCGTTTAAAAATTCCCTCCCCAATTGGATTAGCCAGTCGAAAAGTTAAAGTAGCTGATGTGCATTTTCGCCAAGAAAAAACATATTTTTCGATCGCTAACCGGAATGCACAATCAGAAACTCTCATTCTCTTAACGTCAATAACATAACTTTATTTGACGCGTTGTTAGGGCACACGAAGGCTCAAGGAACGTATAAAATCGCATTACGTCTCTCTCTTTATGAGATGTGTACAATAAGTTAGAACATCCAATTTGCATATGTAACCATGTACGTCTCACATTGCCCCGGCAATGTGCTTTATGGCCTAAATTTTATGCGTTTTTTGATTCGGTTATTACAGGGAAGTGCTACAGCTCATAACGAGATAATCGCACTTTCAACACTACTCGACCAGTGATCCTGCAGAGGCAAGCAACTGCTTCCTAGACCATAAAATCTAACAAGATACACATTCCTTAAAAATTTGAAAAATTTAACTCATAAAAGTTTTGCAAACCCAAACTACTTCATTAACAATAAGAGTCAGTAGCCGTTTTTTTGCTGTAGACAATTATTATTTCGTTTACAACAATTTTCATAAAGATTTGCGCCGACATCAAATGCGACTTTTCGTTTAATTTTCTTAAAGTTGAAGCCTGATCACAAGACAAAGCAAACAAACCTTATGATTAATAACAAAATAAATTTCAAGGATACTGTTGACGACCAATTAAAGACTTTTGTTGAATTTGATATCAGATAAAAATAAAAGACAGCCCATGAACTGTTAAAAAAATTTTTCATAACTTCAAAAAATGGATAAAAACTAGTAATGTGGCCAAAACTATTGAGTTCGCAAACGTTTTGTGAAAATAATTTTTGGAGCAGCCGTGTAGAATTCACACTATCATCGGATTCAAAATGTTGTGGTGTAATTTAGAATTTGTAGGACTCAAACTATTAGACTTGATTTGTTTTGTACAAATTCTAGTTTTTTTCGTAACTTCAAAAAATCTTTTAAAAACAATTTCCATACAATCTTAAGAAAATAATGTAAAAATTTTTTAAGACCTTTAATATATTGATATTCACAATTTAAAATCTGATTTATTTTCTTGTTGAAAAAATTTTTCAAAACAGATCAGTCAAAATAATTTTCATTAAGTTTTTCGCTTTTAGAACATGTAGGCTTTTGCAGAAAAAAACCAAAATGGGCTTGTTTGTTATTGTGTTAAAACAATCAAAACTTATTTTGATAGATACATGATTTAGGTATCCATTCATCAACTTTATTTTGTTTAACTTTTGTTTAACTGAAATTCTTCTAATTCTAATTGATTGTGGCAAACGGCCAGTGTATGTGGTGGAATGATTGCGTTTTGTTATTTTGGACAATAAGCTGCTAATAAAACACAGCGTTTCGATGCTTGTTTGCAAACAATCAACGTTTTTCTTTGTTTCAGCCGAATTGAAGATGGACGTGCTTCGAGAAAGAGAAGTGAAAGACAGTTTAGAAAGACAACTGGTCGACGAACAAAAAATGCGAGGTAAGCGATACCGATTTCATTGTTATGACCCAGACAATATTGTTTCGCGGCGGTATTGTTTTAAAATAAAATATTTGAAACAGTTTTTGAGTGGTTGTACTGTGGGTATTGAATAGAAAAGAAACTTTTCAACGAACCTATTTAATTAGAGAGATCGCAGGAACGTTTCGCGATAAACAATTAGTCCATTCTTTCATGATCCATTAGAGGCGGTTTAAGAAAATTCAACAAGCTCTCGCGACCTTTCAAATTTCGTAAAACATAACAATACAAAATATTAGAGTCGTCTTGAGACAGTAATTCTAGACTGGCATTTCGCAAAGGTCAAACCGGCAATAGAAAAGGCAATAAGCAACTAACCCCTACACTTGTACTACTTCTTCGGGGGTGAGTAAGTCAAGCCCTTCCGGTGTAAACTTTTTGTTTCAGTATTTGTGAAAAGTGTTGTTGGCTATAAATTATCCCGTTCACACCGATTAGTGGCAATTATCATCTGTCTGCCGTGTTGTTCCGGACATCCGGTCGCTTTTTATCTCGTCGGAATACCACACATTAAGCGATTTTTCTTCTCATAATAACACGTATGAAAAATGAATTAATTGTTGTTTATTAGCATTGTTGTGCACATTTTAAATAGGCTATTACTCATCACGTCCAGCTTGTCTTACTCTTTCAGGGCAAGTGATTCTTGATATCAACCGTTACGTGCAATTATCGCTAGTTAGTGCACTCTTTAACTTAATTCTTCGATTATGCGATGTCTTACGACCCCTTTATCGATGGCCCGACTGTTGACATATTAAGTTTCCCTACAAGTCACTGAACACTTTATATTTCGCCCCTCGACGATGTCACAACAAGGCGCATCGATTGGAAACGGAGAGTCGTCCGTCACAAAGATGTCATCGTCCTGAGCTATCTCAGGAAAGCCGCGCTAGATTGATGAGAGGCCGTGTCGTTGCCACACCGAACAAATAAATCATACCCGAAAGCATTACCAATGCCAAAACGATAACTTATCTCTAAATTCGACTTAACAATTCTACACGCTTTTTCCCAACAATCACACCCCCACGCAAACATAAATCCCAAAACGATTTGCTCAGTTTTACACCGCCATCAATTGCAGGATAACTTACAGTTTTATTTTATTTTCAAATTATTCGTATTAATACAGCGTGCCTCAGCTAAAATCTCATCATCTATTATTTTACACATAGATTGTCAATTAAACACAAAATCTAAATGAACTCTGTAGGAAAACATAATTTTAACACTTATGTTTTATTATCCAGGATAAATAAAATAAATATCAATTTATCCATCTTTCCCATATATTCAAATTACTGTGTTTAGAAAACTACAAATTATAACAAAAAAATAGCAAAATCAATTTTTTTTATATATTATCCGTAAAGTGAACGAAATAATCCGTAAAGTAGTATAATAACAACTGTAAACTAGTACCTTTTCCGACTTTTAGGTCATTAATTGAAATGGTTCGACAAGTTGACATAATAGTCTGTAAAATCGATAAGATAGTCCGAAACAACGCATGTTGTGTAATGTTTATTACAAAAGCGTAGCTACATCTACATCTACATTTCAGCTCTAAACATATTTTTTCACTTATACAGAGTGCGTCTGAAATTGCGCCTCAGAGAAATATGCTATATGTAAGGTAAGATACAAGCAACATTCTATCTATAAAAATTTCGAAGTTATTAGAGTTTAAATTTTGCACTTTGATCATTTATTTCTGTAGAAAAAATAATTTTACAAGTTTTTTTGCTACAGACTAGTAGAAGAAGTAACAAGGAAGTTATAATTGTTACTATTAGGATTGTAACTCTGTTTAATGTTATTAGTGGCTTTTATTCGCAAAATTGTTGTACCTCTACTAAATAATTATAAAAAAACATATACAGAATGTTCCGTTTTTATTGTTACAAATTTAAACAGGTGATAGAATATTCAATTTTAATATAAAAGTTTCCTATGAACATGTATCGAAAAATTTTATACAAGGGAGCTACATCCCCTGAAACGGGTGCTTGATTTAATGGATTTTTTCCAATATTTCAGAAACCATTGTAGATAAAATTACAAAATTTGGTACAACTGATAACCTTTATACACCGAAATGAATTCTAAGATAAAATGTCGAAATTTTTACTCAGGGGCGGCCTAAACTGGAGGGTTTAGGGTAAAAAGTACCCTTACTATTTTGACTATTGGTTCTTGCCACTTTCAGCCACACAAATTATAAATTTCATAGTTTTTCACAAAAAAGAGGTCTCTTACGTATTTTCGATACAACTTACCGTGTTAGAGTAAAATCAGTTTAAAATTTATGCTACAGATCATAACGAGGATAAAAATTAAAAATTAAATTTGTTTTACCGTTTAAGAGGCCGGTGATTAAAAATTTCGACAACTGATCTTTGAATCCGTTCAGGTGTCTAAACGTCATCAACTATATTATCCATTCACGAAGCTGTTGCCGCTATAAGCCATAAACCGTACCCCTTGTAAATCTTTATAATCATTCTCAAACCGAACGCGCGTGCATGTTTCTTTTGTTGTGAAAATCCAAGGTTTTTGGTACCTACTCAATGTGTCTATTCTTGTTTTTCCATGTCACTGTATGTTGTCGGAGTAAGAGGAAGATAGTGACGTAAAGCTTTCAAATAAGAAGTAGAATTCCGCATCAGTGGTTATAAAAATGTAACGACTTAAATTTTAAAATTTATTTAAAAATACTTACATGTACCTAATATCCTACGGCTAATAATAATAATTGTGTATGAGAATATTCTTCGGATAAAAAAGTCTGGTCATCCAACCCAAATCGAGGGCGAAATGTTTTGGGTGCACTGGTACCTGTCACCCTCGGCTTCGTTATATTGCTTAGTGGCAACAGCTTTGTGAATGGATAATAGCAACTTTTGTAATTTTATCTATTCTGCAATAGTGGGAAAACCCCATTAAAAAACGCATCTCTTTCAAGGGCTGTAGCTCGCTTACATAACATTCTTTGATACATGTTCATAGGAAACTTTTGTCTTAAAATTCAATATTCTATCATCACCTGTTTAAATTTGTAACAATAAAAACGGAACACCCTGTATAAGATCATCAGCATTATTAAAATAGACATAAAAAAATGTCAAATATCAAAAAAAAATACAGATAGAATTTTTTAAACATTTTTTTCTATGTTCCTGGTATCCTATTTTACTTGAAATTTTTCTCTAGGGCGCGAGTTCTGACACCCTGTACAGTTATTTGTGATAAAAAATTTAACCACCACCTTTTATTCAAATATGTAATTATACAACTCGCGGCCCAGAGAAAAATGCCATGTACGGTAAGAAATTCTATCTATAAAAATTTCGAAGTTATGAGAGTTTAAATTTTGCACTTTGACTCTATTTATTTCTGTTGGAAAAATACTTTGCTAAGTTTTTTTGCTACAAGCTATTAAAAGAGGAAACAAAGAAGCTGTAACCTGAATTGTATCTCTGTTTAATGCTGTTTGTGGCTTTTATTGGGAAAATTTTTATACCTTTACTAAATAATTATAAAAAAACAAGATCATCAGTATCATTAATTATATATGAAAAAATCTCAAATGTCAATTTTTTGACAGATAGAATTTTTTTAACATTTTTCCATGTTTCTGGTATCTTATCTTACTTGAATTTTTTTTCTGAGGCGCACCCTGTATTTTCAGCAAAGCTTTCAAAAAATTACCTACTACTCGTATTAAGATGCAATGTCAAACATTACAAGGAGTGTTATATATTTTAGAAAGCAGTATTTTACCACACTAGTAAAGCAAAGTAAAGACAATTTGACGTTTTAAAAATGCCAATAGCTCTATCGATAGCAGAAAAACAAACGGAAAAAGAAATAGAAAAAAGCCTACTGTTTATGCAATTTTTAACGGATATATTATTATCTTTACATAATTTATTATAAATATAATTAATAGTTTTTCTTAGAATAGTGAAATTTAAAATTAATCTTCACCGAAAGAGAACTTTCTGTTAATTTTTAGAATTTGTAGATTTTATAATAAGTTATAGCAACAACTGTGCATATAATATAAACATTTTGATTTGCTTTGACTAATAAAAAATAATATAGACATACCTTACGAGGTTATTTTAAAAGTTGTGTAGAAGAGGTGATAGTGTATCTAGTAAAAAAGTCAGAAGGTGCAACTTTCATTTTAGCCTTGGAAATGTTTGAGTACTTTATTTCAAAGTTTACAATGCCAATTAAATAATCGGTATCATTTCAGGTAACCAAATTCGGAAATATATCTTTAATTACAAAATTTAATGCAAAATATTTACTTCTACCTATTAGTTTTTTAATTAGATTTTTTTTTCGGTGACGGTTTTTGCTATTTTTAACTCATTTTTTTTATAACAGTGTAATAAATTTTGAAAAACTAACCTCAGAGATTCAGAAATAATATTTGTTTACAATTTTTAAATTTATTTGGTTACTAAACCTTTTATATCTCAGAAGCTATAAACATATGAATAAGACAAGTTGAGTTATTTTTGCATTTTATTTTGCAATTTTACTATCAGCTCTTAATATTTCTGCACAACTATTAAAATCACCTTGTCTTAACTGGGGTTTGTTAAATATTTGAACAGAAAATATTCTTAAAATTAAAAATCACTGCTTGGGTGTATATGTCCTTACAATCTTATTTTGAAATTTTTCAGTTAATGAAAAGCTCTTTAAATTTTCTCGTTTACTTTCCTTAAAATCTTAAAAATCTTTAAAAGTGAGACCAGTCTTGTTAGGATCCGATCCAACTGTCAAAGTTGACGAAAAAGAACAAATACCGAACGTAACATTTGACAACTGGATAATGAATAGAAGAAACAGAGTTGACATTCGTAGCTAATGGTCTCTTGTTTGACTCCGGTCGGGTTTCCGGCACGTGACTTCCGGACTCTAATGCAACCGTTCCT